TGGCGCGCCACCGAGATGTACACCACATACCCAGAGAACAGTGCCGCGGACACGCCCTGCAGAGCCAGCTCGTCCTCGTCGGACTGCATGACGGCCACGAAGTCCAGCATCAGGATGCCGAACAGGTGCACCGAATCGAGAGGGCGCGACGTCACCGCAACGAACACGCCGACGCAGAACATCCACAGCGGGAACATCAGCTTGAAAGCCCGGGTCAAGCCCCACGTACGTTCGTACAGCAAGGCTGCAAGTATCCGCCACCGCGCTTGCAGCGGTTGGCGTGTCGAGCTTCTGCTTTGTTTCGCTAGTCGAGGCAACAAGTAGGATTCCCCCGACACATTCCGCTCAAGCTGCGCAAATTTGGTCAACCATGTCCCTGCGTTTCCTTCCCAAACAGAAATCGGCGGAGGACAAACCCCTCGTCAGTACACCTCCCCTGAATGAAAACCGCCCAGGACCGAAACCGACGGACCTGGACCCGCAGAAAGGATTACCGCGACGCCCTCTCGCGAACCGAACACGGCCGATTCCTCAATCGACGTGTCAGGGCAGGAGGTCAGTCCACCCCCGAAGAAACTGGATGCCAAATACAACGAGGAGGGGGCCCACGGCCCTCCCCCTGCCCCCGCTGGGCGCCCCCACCACTTCCGTTCTCCATCAGTGCAGGATAGCATACCCCCCTATCCCTGGTTGCGGCGCTGGGTTCAAACACTTCCCCCAGGGCCCCCCAAAAAAGGCAACGTGTGCTCACTGCGTTCATTGCATTGGGTTGTACTGCATGGCGTTGCGTTGCATTGCATTGGCTTGCGCGCGCGTTGCCCAGCTCCACACTTATCCTTTCATTTCGTCTCCCCTCTTCCTCCTCCTGGCCCTTCCCTCTCATCTCTCCTCCTCCTCCTCCTCCTCGTCCTCCTCGTCCTCCCCCTCCTCATCCTTTCATCTCATCCTGGTGCGGGATTTGGAAGTTTGAGGAGGGCGAGGTAAGTAGAGTGACCCGGTTGGGATAAGGAGGTGAGGTAAATGGAGGGATCCGAGGTTGGGATGTTGACGGTGGGGGAATGCTGGCCACTCGTTAGTCGTTTCCCTGGAACGCCTTGGGGGTCCTTGGGAAGTCCTGGGTCCTGGGGTTCCGAGGGCCTCCCAGGGCCTGCCAAGGCTTCGGAGGGCTTCCGAGGCCTCCCTTCCCTCGTCCCTCCTCCTTCCCTCCTTCCCTCATCTTCTCCTCCTCCCCTCCTCCCCTGTGTCCTCATCCGCCCCCTCCTGCATCCCTCCTCCTCCCCTCCTTCTCTACTCCCCTCCTTTCCATTCCTTCCCTTCCCGCTCTCGCCACTCCCTCCTTCCTCCTCCCTGCTCTTTCCCACCTTCCCTCATCCCCTCCATCCCTCCTTCCCTCACCCCCTCTTCCCTCCTCCCTCCGTCCATCACCCCTGATATCAGAGTGTCGTCGACCACCTGGGGGTGCCAGGAGGTGCCGGGACCGGGGTGGGGGGGTATGACGTTATGTCACCAGGCGCCCCACCCCATGGCGCCCGCCACGAGCGCGGTGGCGGGATGGCGCGGCAGCGCAACCGTATCAGAGCGGCCATCGCACCCAGTCTGATGTTTGTTATCAGCGGGTAGGCCTCTCCAGTCAGCAAGGCTTCGACGTTGCTGTACATGGCCATGGCGGCCGTGGCGGACAGGCCTGCGATACATAACCTCAGCACGAAGTCTTTCTTGCTCTTGTCCTCGGGGCTACCGCCGCGCCCCTTCCGCCCTCACTCCTCCTCCCCCCCTCCTCCTACGGCGACACACATGCTGTATCGATGCGCTTGGCCCAGGATGCGTTCGGCGAGTTGCGGAGTATCTGGCGGCCCTGGTTTCTGAAGCCCGTGAGGAACAGGAGGAAATATAATTGGGACATCCTGGAATCTTGGAGCGCAGCATTCGCGTGACCTTTTGCTCCTCCGACCTCGTCCCGACCCAGACTTCCCACGGATCGTTTCTCTCGGCCCGAGCTGCGGACGTCTCCCACGGGGCTCGCTCGTCATCCCGAACCCTCTTCTGATGGTCGAAATCGAAGGATGGCATAGTGGTGGAACAAGTCGCTCTGGTCGAGGTTTGGGCCCCCGGGGATCTCTCGAAATCCCTGGAGGCCCGCGGAGGCCCCTGGACGCCTGTACAGCTCCAGCAGGGGTGGAGCACGCGGCGCGAAACCTAAATCCTTGATCCTCCAGCCTCAAACTTTGAGGAAAAGCCCTCGCCAACGATCGGGCGGTGCTTCCGGAGGGGGTGGAGGAGGAGGAGGAGGAGGAGGAGAAAAAGGGGGAGGAGGAGGAGGAGGAGGAGGAGGAGGAGGAGGAGGAGGAGGGGGAGGAGGAGGAGGAGTCTCTGGAGTCTCTGCCTGATCGCGTAGCGATATATTCTGCTCGAGACCGCACGGCGCGGTTCCACCTTCCACTCAGAAGGCCTTCGACAGCAGGGAGTGGTTCAACGCGTCGACGCTGAGGAAATGGCTGCACCGAGAGCTGAGAGAAGGTCTCCAACCTCACTGCCGCCGTCCTGCTTCGTCGGTGTGTTGCCACTTGTAGACTCCCATTTCCATTCGTAACGTTGAGTACGACCGACTCCAACCTGTGTGTGAATCCATCTCCTATTACTGCCTTGTGATGCGGCCGCCAGGTGTGCAACGCGTCGCACGAAAGGCTGGGATTCCCGTCTCATGGCTCGTGTGATGCATTGATCTTCAAATTCCTTCTGTTCTGCAGCTCGCTCGCGGAGAAACGCTTCCACGTCTGGCTCAGTGTTTTTTCTTTTTCTGTGGCTGACGACGTCGGGCTCGACCTTCGCACCGCGAGTCCGATCCCCGTCGTTGGAGCTGATGGCGTTGGGCTCGTGCTTCGTCTCTGCCACTGCCACCATCCAAGACTTCTCGCATGCACCGAACTCGGGTCTGTAACTGATAACGTCGGGCTTGACCTTCCCGTCATGCGACACAGCCTTGTCGTTGTAGCTGATGGCATTGGGCTCGTGCTTCGTCACTACCACTGCCGTCATCCAAGACTTCTCGCATGCACCGTCCTCGGGTCTGTAGCTGATGACGTCGGGCACGACCTGCCCATCACGCGACACAGTCCCGTCGTTGTAGCTGATGGCGCTGGACTCGAAATTCGGCCCCGCCTCTGCCACCGTCCAAGACTTCTCGCATGCACCGTCGTTGTAGCTGATGGCATTGGACTGGTGCTTCGTCTCCGCCACTGCCGCCATCCAAGACTTCTCGCATGCACCGTCCTCGGGTCTGTGGCTAATGTCGGCGGGCTCGACTTTCCCGTCACGCGACACAGCCTCGCCGTTGTAGCTGATGGCATTGGACTCGTGCTTCGTCTCCGCCACTGCCGCCGTCCAAGTCTTCTCGCATGCACCGTCGTTGTAGCTGATGGCATTGGGCTGGTGTTTCATCTCCGCCACTGCCACCATCCAAGACTTCTCGCATGCACCGCCCTCGGGTCTGTAGCTGATGACGTCGGGCTCGACCTTGGCGTCGCGCGACGCAAACCCGTCGTTGTAGCTGATGGCGTTGGGCTCGTGTTTCGTTCCCGCCACTGCCGCCATCCAGGGGTTCTCGCATGCACCGCCCTCGGGTCTGTAGCTGATGACGTCGGGCTTGACCTTCCCGTCATGCGACACAGCCTTGTCGTTGTAGCTGATGGCGCTGGACTCGAACATCGGCTCCGCCACTGCCCCCATCCAAGACTTCTCGCATGCACCGTCGTTGTAGCTGATGACATTGGGTTCGTGCTTCGTCGCTGCCACTGCCGCCATCCAAGACTTCTCGCAGGCACCGTCCTCTGGTCTGTAGCTAATGACGTCGGGCTCGACCTCCCCGTCACGCGACACAGCCTCGTCGTTGTAGCTGATGGCATTGGACTCGAGCTTCGCCTCCAGCTCTGCTCGCTGCTGCCACTGCCGTTCTGACCCCCACGTTCCTGCCGTGTCCTGCGGATGCTCCCACTGTCCATATTGTTCCCGCTCGCTGCTCCCAACGCTGTAGCTGACGACGTTGGGGTCCATATACTGCATCTTGCGGAGCTGCTCCACCTCGCGGGTTAGGCGGTGGATGGCTCGCTCAGCCGACCACTGTGCCCACGCCCGCCGGGCCTTGCGCTCCTTCGGGGTGAGCCTTGGGCGCCACTCTCCGGCACCCATCCCGTAGCACCGTTTGAAACTCCAGTGTTTGTTAACGTCAAAGGCGGCCGAACATGCGACAGCTGCGACGAGATCCCCCAAGCACCGCGCGGAGGTCCTGGAGCCGGCCCGGGGCAAGGGAAGCCTGGGCCTGGGTTGCTTGAGGAGGAGGAGGAGGAGGAGGAGGAGGAGGAGGAGGAGGAGAGGAGGATGAGGAGGAGGAGGTGGAGGGGGAGGGGGGGGGGGAGGAGGAGGAGGAGGAGGAGGAGGAGGAGGAGGGGGAGGAAGGAGGAGGAGGAGGAGGAGGAGGAGGAGGAGGCGGAGGAGGAGGCGGAAAGGGGAGGGGGAGGAGGAGGAGGAGGAGGAGGTGAGGAGGAGGATGGGGAGGAGGAGGATGACGAGGAGGAGGAGGAGGAGAAGGAGGAGGAGGAGGACGAGGAGGAGGAGGAGGAGGAGGAGGAGGAGGAGGAGGAGGAGGAGGAGGGAGGAGGAGGAGGAGGAGGAGGAGGAGGAGGAGGAGGAGGAGGAGGAGGAGGAGGAGGAGGAGGAGGAGGAGGAGGGGGGGAGGGGGAGGAGGAGGAACGCGTTTCGTGCACCTTCGGGGCCCCATGGGGGCCCCGTTTCGGGCCGCAGTCCTGCGGCCCCCGAGCCCCCCCCCCAGCTTGCAGTCAGCAGCCTGGCCTGGGGAACGATACGTAAGGAACGAAGCCCCTTTTCTAACAAGGAGTAACGCAGCATAGGGAGCGATACGTCAGGAGCAACGCAGAAGGAGCAGAACGTAATGCCTGCAAGCCCAAGGAACGACCGAGCCCCTTTTGCGAAGCAGGTGTTCCTTATTCCAGCCGCTCGCTGCATCGCCCACCCAGCATCGGGGGCGCCCAAGAGACGCAGGGCGCAGAGTGCGGCCCGCGGCATGCGCGCGCACGAGCGCTGGGCATGCGCGCGCGCGAGCGGGGGGGGGCTGGTGGACGATTCCCCCCCCCCCAGTCGACCATCTCCCTAGCGACTCCTCTGGGGCCTCTGGAGCCTCGGACAAGTCACTCCCGCAGCGGGCCGCAAGAGCGCCTGACAGGTAATGTATCCCTGGGGGGGGGGGTTAGTGCACAGGAAGCGGACGACCGACAACCTCCTTCGTCGTCGGGTTGATCCCTGCCTTGAGCTGCTTGAGAGCCCTGTGACCCCACGCCCCTGGTCCTGCCGGCGGGCAACGGGCGGCCAGTCCTTTGGTCTGACCCGTCCCGTGCGCGCCGCACACGTTGCAGTAAAACGTGTCACCCGCTACCCACAGTCTGTGGGACTCGTGGGATCTACTCACAATCTTGGGGGCCCCTGGGCATGGAAGACTCGCAATACGGGCCCAACGGCCCGGCGACACGCCACATGTCCTACACCCCCAGAGGTCCCCTTCACGATGCGCAAGGTGCCCATTGTCACCCTTCACTAAAACCAAAGAGCAAATGGGATCCGTCCCCACGTACTGAGGGGAACCCGACGCGGCTCAGTTGATACAAGGTGCCTCCGAGAAGTCGAGTGAAATTCCTGGCGTGCCCCTCGGCCCACTTTAGACGTTCCTGAAGATGCGGGATCCTGGGGTGTTGAACAGCCCCTAACCGAGCATACTTGTCAGCCATCGCATTTCCAGGAAACCACCGATCAGGATACCCTTGATTCCTCAACCATGCCCGAGAGCGATGGGATGGCATCCAAACCAGGTTTATGTTTCTGGGGCCGATATCCTCAAGCTTCCAAAAAATCCAGCTCCAGATCTCGAAATAAGGCCGGGACGGGTTGCACATGATTTCTGCCCCTCTGTCCAAGCCCTTGACCAAGTTGAGATGGTCAGTTATCGCAGTCGCCGCCGTGCCCATGAGGCACAAGCACATGTAAAAGGAATACAGTTCAGCAAGGCCTGCTGATTGGACTGGTCCAGGGACGGGCCCATATGCAACAGCAGATACCTCCTCCTCGGGCCCTGGAGCCAGGGAGACTGCGGCCCATCCTGAACGGGTCCTCCATTCAATCGTCGGGTCAAATCCAAAGGCGTCAATGAAAAATTCGGCCCCAAGATGTCCTGAGGCAGCGGGTCTCCAAACATATACAACTTCAGAGCCCTGGAGAGGAGGAGGAAACTCATCACGCCTGCTCGAAGTCACCCCATACTCCGTGAGTGGACAATCTCCAGCCTCATGGTAGATGGAGTGCAACTCGCCAAAATCCTGCTCTCGCCGCCAAGCAGCGAGTCCATCGCAAATCTGTAACCGATGCCCTATAGAGCCTGGTGCTTGCTGACACCATCGGCATGTCGGGCTGAGCTCGTATCTCTCCTGAAACCACTTCAACTGAGTCCAGAGGCCTCCAGAACAGTGCGCGACCACTAGATCAGCTTGGATATCCTCCCCCCTCCCTCTCATACTCCGCAACTCGCTGAAAACAGGCTCCTGGCATGGGGAGTTATCCCAGCCCATGTGTGCCGCTGCTTGCTGCTCCTGTTGATGTCTAACAGTGCGCTGTAAAAGGCATTTCTCCATGCCGGAGAATGCCGATGCTGCTGATGTTCCTATAGCTTGTGCTGCTTCACCTACTGCTGCTTGTTGCCACATTGCCCGCTCGCAGGTTTTCCCTCTGGGCCCGAAGATGCATTCTAGTTGGTGATATGCTTCCCATTGCCCTGCTTCTTTCTGCCTAAGATTGCCTAATATACGGATTGGCGTTGCTAGAATCCCTATCGGTCGATATCCACCATCAGGTTTCTTCAGGAAAGCCAACGGCACATGGTCGCACTGCTCTGGACGCAAGAGGTGCGACTCCATGCGCGCGAGGAACTGGCCATGCACTGCGAGCGCGTCGTCGCTCAAGAGCTTGGGCGAAGCTGGGCTCCACCCGTCACTGCCGAATGTCGTGTTCTTTCTGAACTTCCCGAGGACTCCTCTAAGTTGGCCCACTGTGGGCGGTGGAGGGGGCTCTCCGAGAGGAAGACCGGGATGTTCAGCATTTAGACGAGACGGTACTCCTTCATGCCATATATGTTCCCATTCATCAAGCAGGGATTCTCCCATATCTACTTGCCCCGCGGGTCCCCCTTGGAGTCCATGGGGATCTGGTGCCCATCCGATAGGCTCCTTCGTATATTGATATACAGCTCCCCCTCCTCTAGCGATAGACTCCTGCACCCATTGCCTCCGGACCTTAGTCTTAGCCCTAGTGGAACAAGACTCCGCGACTGCGGCAAACTCCTGGACCTGGTGCCCGATGTCGAGCGGGTCGCCCAGGCTGACCCCTTCTCCTAAGCACAGCCTCGAATGAAACGCCTGCCAGCCTGGAACTTCAATCAAGTGAGGCTGAGCGCCGACTATCTTGTTGACGAGGTCTTGGGCCCCGCGGGAGCCCCATTTGTGCTCCTTGCCCCTCAGATACCTCAGCTCCTCCACCCAGACGGCCAACTTACGAAGGGCCCTCCAGGCTTTGGTGCACCTGGGGTAGGGGCCCCTCACGTACTCCAAAACTGGCTGCGATACAATGCGTCGCCCGTGGCCTCTGCCCACGTACGTTGCACGCTCCTCTGCGTCGAAGCCGAACGTGTCACAGAGCTCGTGCTCCATGAGGCTGCAAAGGTCTAAGTAGATCAGGTTAAACTCGCTAGCCGTCGGCCTCGAGTCGAAGTCCTGAAGCCTATCAACGATCGAGCTCCATGCACGTGGCGCTGTTGGGGCCCCTAACCCAGCTCCTCTGGGCACCTCGTTGGGAAGGGGCTTCGGGAGCTTCAGAACCTGTTGAACCTGTTGATGAGACTGGGCCCCCAAGACAAGCTCCACAAGGTAATGAGTTTTATTCTCCGAGTCCTCGATGCGCCCACAGCTGCGGACTGACCCTACCAGGTCGTGTGAAACAATGAAGAAATCCAGTTCCCTCCAGTTCCTCCCAACACGGCAAGTGGGTTTATTGCCATAGACCACCACTCCCCTGAGTTTACTGAGGATCGGAACCTTCTGGACTTCACTCGGGGTCGAATTGAAATCTGCTGCAATGACGAAAGGCTTCTGAGACAAGAATAAGAATTCTCCCACCCTTTCATCCCCCCGACTCCTTCTCCATCAGGAAAATATAAACTGATCAAATAGAAGCCTCCTCGAACACACCCATTGACCCAGACAATGGTACTTCGAGGGCTTCTCAAATGCTGATGGCGCCCAACGGCTTCGCCCACACCGACGTGATGTTTTTCTGCGATACCCACGCCCGATGAGACGCCATCCTGCGGGGTCTTAAACGCCCCTGATATTCTGAGTTTCCATCCTTCACTTGCCATCATTGACTCCTTCGCCGATGCCCCCGCCTTCAAAATCTTACACTCTTGCAAGCATACGGCGTGGGCTCCTCGTATGTAATCATCCGTGAGAAGATGCATCGCTCCACTCCACCCCGATGTGTTCGCGGTGACTATCCTGCATGTAGTTGTCGGCCTCGTTGAGGTACGTGATGGCTCGTAGCCATCTGCTGCGGATTGCCTGGGAGGGCTAGGAGCTCGACGCCCCTTTGCCCACCTCTTTGGCCACGAGGCCAGCGGCCTTCTGGCGCAGCTCGGACCCCCGCTGCCGTTTGCCAGCGCCGCTGCCGCTTCCACCTGCCGCCGCCGACGCCGTACCCCCAGTGCCCGAGCCCGTACCTGGAGCCCCCGTAATAGCCGCACCCGCTGGCTGCTGGCTGCTGGCGCTGCTGGGGAAACCGGTGGATCTGAAGCGGGCTGCTCTTCGTCAATCTTTCGCTTCTTGCAAGCGAGCCTGGCCTTGAGCGTCTCGTGTTCACGTTGGCATTATTCTGCCTTTTGTTTAAGATCACCAAAGAGCTGCTTAGCCAAAGTCCCAAACTGGGTCTTGAGGCTGTTATCCCTGTCACGAGCCTCTTTGAGATCGGTCTCAGATATCCACAAACTCGCTGAGCCCGAAAAGACCTTCGCCACATGATAACTCCCATTTCACGCTGCCGCTGAGGATGCCCTCGGGGCGTAGAACTGGTTTGCGATCTCCCTGCGCCTTGGCGACGGTCCCGTGCAGCTCGGTGATCGTTTCCTTGTATATGTTATCCTGCTTGCTGCGGTTGTCCAGGGTCTGCTGCACGAGTTTCCCCTGATCCTCGACTTGCTTGTGTAGATCATCGAGTACAGCAGTCTGCTTGCTGAGGTCAGACTCCAATCTCTGGATGAATCTGTGGCTCTGGTCTGCACGAGCTTGGGGCGAGAGTTCAAATCGATTTTTGATGGCCAATGCCTGTTGGTAATACTATGCGAGCTCGTGATTATTTGCCTTCTGTGTCAGGCTGATGAGCTGCTTGGTCTCGCTGATGTCCAGCTCGGGAACTGGATCCTTGCCTCCTTGAAATCCCACGGCCAGCGGAGCACCGCCACCCAGACCAGGAGGAACATCAAGCCCATCACCTGCTTCGGCCTTGTCACGCCCTTTCCCTTTCTTCTTCTTGTACTCGCCCGTCTTCCAGTGCTTCCCACAGTGTTTGCAGTGGGCCACCGCGAGCTCCGTCTTCGCACATCCACAGTGGCTGCATCGCCACACGTGATCAGAAGACGAACAAGATGAAGAATTCCCATGCCACTGAGAGTAGCTGGTTGTGCCATATGTTCAAGACTATCGCGGCACGGCCCAGGGATTTGAGCCCCAACCCCAGGGAAGGCGAAGGCCCCAGGCAACGGCTTGAGCCACCCTAGCGACTCCTCCTCCTCCTCCTCCTCCTCCTCCTCCTCCTCCCTTGCTAGGTCGTGCTGTGCACCAGCTTCCTCACCTGTGCCCCCCATATGGTGGCACACCCGAACCCTCCCCCCTGGGCAGAACAGCGTGAAGCCACGTGAAGTAACCTATCTGCATCTACGCCATTGGTCTTCGATCGATTCTGGAGTTTGTACCTCATTTGACGCACTCACTTCAAAAACAGCCACCGGTGATGTTTAGGGATAGCTTGTCATCCCCCTTCATCCTCCCTCCTTTCTCTCGGGGAAACAAAGGACTCGGGAACGGGGAGCTCGGGTTGGCCTGTTGGGGCCATCATGGAAATGACGAGGCCCTGTCTGAAATTCGACGTGAACTCCCGCTGCAAACATCCTACGAAAGCTGGACTCGTCACATTCCAGGACGGGCTCGTCAAAAAGCGGCGGCCAACCCAACTTCTGGCGTACTCGAGCCTTGCCCCTCGGAAATCTCGATGGACATATCCAGAAAAATCTGGCCCCTCGGAAGTATCCCGGAAAATCTCTGGGGAAATCTCCCGGAACAAAAATCCATGCAAATTCCTCTTAAATGTCCACATCCCAATACATTGTAACCAATCCTAAAACATTGCGGACATCCCGGAGATTTCGCCCCTCGGAACTTTCCGGAAAAATCTTACCCTCGGAAGTCTCAACGGAAATCGCCCAGAAAGCCTGCCCCCTCGGAGGTCTCAACGGGAAATCTCCCGGGAAGTCACCTGGAACAGATTTTTTCAGAGAGGCTTCCACGAGCTCGCCGGAGACTCTCTGGCTCGGGGGGCAGGGCCCGGAGAGGTGTCGCCGAAAACTTCCACCAGATCAGGGTCATTCCGGGAGCTTTCCCGGAGGATTCGGTGGAGGTTCTTGGCCTGGGGATGCGACAAAGGGATCTGCTTCGGAGCCCTGAAGGGGCCTCGGCACTGCGGCCGGAGAGTCGGGAGAAGATTCTCGCAAGGTTCTTGGCCAGGACCGTGTGGGGGACGTGTGATCAAGACTCCCCCGCTCCAACGTTAATCCTCGAATTCGACAGGGCCTTTACTAGGGGAACAAAAAATGGCATAAACATAAAAAACTCAGAGGTCCGCGCGGATTTCTCGGATCGGCGCTGGACCCCCCCCCTGGCGCGCGCGCCAGGTGCGGCGCCGGAGGCGCCGCCGGGGGGCCCCAACGCCGATCCGAGAAATCCGCGCGGACCTTCGAGTTTTTTGATGATTATGCCTCTTTTCGTTCCCCTATTTACCCTAGTGACTCGGGCCCGTCTCGCGCGAGTCGAGACTTCGCTCACGCCAAGCCGTGTCGGCCGCCGCTTCGGAGGCAGCGAATTGCCGCCCGCAGGGAGCACAGCCCGCCACCCTCCCTGCCTTTGGTAGCGTCCCTCTCCGCCCCTCTGAGGGCTGAGGTGGCTGGGGTTATGTCGGGCGTGTCCCCCCTACAGGGGAATTCTCGACGAACCCTTAAAAAAAACATCAAAAATACCCCCAAAAGGCCAAACTCACAAAATGCTCTCCAGACCATTTTTGGAGGGCTGGGCTGGGGGGGGGGGGGGGTCCGTGGCGGGAACCTCGGGCTGGCGGGTGTTTTTCTCCTCCCACGCACGCTGTGCTCCGCACCACGCCCACAAAAAACGCTCTTTCCGCTCCCCGCCGCTCCCCGCCCGCGGCCCTGCCTCGGTCGCGCCCGCGTGGCCGCCCGCTCTCGCCTCGCCCCGCCGGCTCTGCGCCCGCCGCCGTCCGCCCGCGCTTCGCCGCCTCTCCGGCTCCCCTCTCGCCGGGCTGCACCGACGCCCGGGGAGCCAGCGGGAAGGCGCAGCGGCCCAGGATCCCCCCATCGGCCCGCTGGTAGGCGGAAGGTCCATGTTGAGGTCCTCTGCCCTTGCATGGGGCGCCCTGGCCGTCCGAGGTCTGTTTTGCTCGACATTCGAAATCCTAGTCTGTCGAGTGTTGAGCGGAGGCACGGCCGGACCATCTTTCAAGAACATGAGATCATCCACCGGCCAAACCAAGAAACATTCGAGTGTGCCCTCCCCAAGGATGCATAATACCATCCCACAAACACAAAACATTGGGGTACCCTCCCAGAACCAACCTCGATCACATACCCCTGTCTGACCGTAAACTGGAACGAACAAAGATCAAACTTCATACCCCCCTCCTTGCGCCAAGAAGGGTGCGGACCCCCCACTGCCCAAACACACGTGACAAACGCTTTGTTTCCAGAAGAACGGAACGCTCCATCCACATCGTCAAGCTGACATTAACGCCAGGCTTGCTGCGATCCTCGACTGGAAGAATAAAGAAAGCGTCCTCCTCCCCTCCCCCCCCCTCTCTTGTCCCCCCCCCTCCCTCTCCCCTCCCCCTCCCTTCCCTCGTCCTCCCATCGTCCCTCCATTGTCCCTCCCTCGTCCCTCCCTCGCCCCCATCCCTCGTCGCCGCTCCTCCCCCTCCCTCATCCGCCCTCGGGACTCTGGCCGCGCTCGCGCGCCTCCTGCTTCGAGCTGCCGCTGCTTCTCCCTGTCATCCCCGACTCCCCCTCATCTCGCTTTACAGTTACTCAACATGGACACTAGAACCTTCGCGCGCGCTTCGCGCGCGCTCGAGTTCTAGCGAGCTTCTTGGGGCCTCCTCGGAGAATCCTGGACTACTTCTTGAAGTCGTCATGGGACCTTCTTGGCATGTCTTCGGGGGCCTCTTACACAGAGTTTTGAAGCCTTTTCGGTGCCGTCTTGGGGCATTTTGGACCCTCTGTTGGGCTTCTTTGGGGCCTCTTGGGGGCCTCTTGGGGCCCTCTTGGGGGCTTCCTGGGGGCATCTTGGGGCCTCTTGAAGGCGTCTTGGGGCGGAGAGCTTGATTCCCCACATGCTTCGTGGGGTTCTGGTTTTCTTCCCTGCCGCGCCGCACCCGCGTCTCACCCACTCCCGCCCTCCTCCTCCTCCTCCTCCTCCTCCGCCTCCCCCTCCTCCTCACGCACACAGCACAACACAGCACAGCACAGCAGACAGCAGCACAGCATCCGCTTCAGGCTCGCAAAGTGTGGCAGGCGCGAGATTCTCGACACCACAGGGGGTGAGCTGTGGGTGGGGACGCTATCCGTTTCGGGCTCGCAACGCGTGGCAGGCGTGGGGGTGGTCCTTGAGCTCGCCCGCATCCACGACATTGTCGCAAAGCCTAGCAGGCGTTGCACTTTCTCGACACCAGAGGGGGTGCGCAGGGGGTGGTCCCTGCGCTCGCCCGCTATCCATGACACTGGCGCAAAGCGTAGCAGGCGTGGCACTTTCTCGGCACCAGAGGGGGTGCGCAGGGGGTGGTTCCTGAGCTCGCCCGCTATCCACGACACTGTCGCAAAGCCTAGCAAGCGTGGCAAATGCACGACACCGTAGGGGGTGCGCAGGGGGTTGTCCCTGAGCTTGCCCGCTATCCACGACACTGTCGCAAAGCCTAGCAGGCGTGGCAGTTTCACGACACCGCAAGGGGTGCGCAGGGTGTGGTCCCTGAATTCGCCCGCTATCCACGACACTGTCGCAAAGCCTGCCAGGCGTGGCAGTTTCACGACACCGTAAGGGGTGCGCAGGGGGTGGTCCCTGAGCGCGGCCGCTATCCGCGACACTGTCGCAAAGCCTGGCAAGCGTGGCACTTTCTCGACACCGTAGGGGGTGCGCAGGGGGTGGTCCCTGAGCCTGCCCGCTATCCACGACACTGTCGCAAAGCCTAGCAAGCGTGGCAGTTTCACGACACAGTAGGGGGTGCGCAGGGGGTGGTCCCTGAGCGCGGCCGCTATCCACGACACTGTCGCAAAGTCTAGCAGGCGTGGCACTTTCTCGACACCAGAGGGGGTGCGCAGGGGGTGGTCCTTGAGCGCGGCCGCTATCCACGACACTGCCGCAAAGCCTCGCACGCGTGGCACTTTCTCGACACCAGAGGGGGTGCGCAAGGGGTGGTCCCTGAGCTCGCCCGCTGTCCACGACACTGGCGCAAAGCCTAGCAAACGTGGCCAGTTTCACGACACCGTAGGGGGTGCGCAGGGTGTGGTCCCTGAGCGCGGCCGCTATCCACGACACTGTCGCAAAGCCTGCCAGGCGTGGCACTTTCTCGACACCAGAGGGGGTGCGCAGGGGGTGGTCCCTGAGCGCGGCCGTTATCCACGTCACTGTCGCAAAGTTTAGCAGGCGTGGCAATTCCGCGAGACTATAGGTCCAGCGCAAGGGGTGGTCTCGTGCTGCAGTGATTATTCCCGCATGTTTCGTGGGGTTATGGTTTTCTGCCCTGCCGCGGCGCACCCGCGTCTCACCTCACCTCACACCTCATCTCCTCTCTCCCCCTTCCTCTCCTCACCCGCGCTCAACGCGTGCACGGCAAGTACATGAGGCACGCGTCTACATACGGCCGCGCGCATGCACACACTCGCACACAACACACGCACACACACCATACAACGCTAGTGCGCGCCTTCGTGAGGTTCTGGTGTTCTTCCCTTCCGCGTCTCGCCCGCGTCTCCTCTTTCTCCTTTTCCTTCTCCTCCCTCTCCTTCTCTTCCCTGCCGCGCCGCACCCGCGCTCATTCACCTCACTCAGCTCAGCACAGCACGGCACAGCACAGCTCGGCTCAGCTTAGCTGGGTGCGCAGGGGGTGGTCTCCCTATGCGTGCCAGGGTCGTCCAGGCATAGCAGGCGTGGCATTTTCTCAACACCAGAGGGGGTGCGCAGGGGGTGGCCTCCCTATGCGTGCCAGGGTCGTCCAGGCATTGCAGGCGTGGCATTTTCTCGACACCAGAGGGAGTGCGCAGGGGGTGGTCTCCCTATGCGTGCCAGGGTCGTCCAGGCATTGCAGGCGTGGCATTTTCTCGACACCAGACGGGGTGCGCAGGGGGTGGTTCCCCTATGCGTGCCAGGGTCGTCCAGGCATTGCAAGCGTGGCATTTTCTCGACACCAGAGGGGGTGCGCAGGGGGTGGTCTCCCTATGCGTGCCAGGGTCGTCCAGGCATTGCAGGCGTGGCATTTTCTCGACACCAGAGGGGGTGCGCAGGGGGTGGTCTCCTATGCGTGCCAGGGTCGTCCAGGCATTGCAGGCGTGGCATTTTCTCGACACCAGAGGGGGTGCGCAGGGGGTGGCTATGCGTGCCAGGGTCGTCCAGGCATAGCAGGCGTGGCATTTTCTCGACACCAGAGGGGGTGCGCAGGGGGTGGTCTCCCTATGCGTGTCGTCGGCCATCCAGCAGGCGTGGCATTTTCTCGACACGTGCGCAGGGGTGGTCTCTCTATGCGTGCCAGGGTCGTCCAGCAGGCGTGGCACACCAGAGGGGTGCGCAGGGGGTGGTCTCCCTATGCGTGCCAGGGTCGTCCAGGCATTGCAGGCGTGGCATTTTCTCGACACCAGAGGGGGTGCGCAGGGGGTGGTCTCCCTATGCGTGCCAGGGTCGTCCAGGCATTGCAGGCGTGGCATTTTCTCGACACCAGACGGGGTGCGCAGGGGGTGGTCTCTCTATGCGTGCCAGGGTCGTCCAGGCATTGCAGGCGTGGCATTTTCTCGACACCAGAGGTGGTGCGCAGGGGATGGTCTCCCTGTGCGTGCCGGGGTCGTCCAGGCATTGCATGCGTGGCATTTTCTCGACACCGGAGGGGGTGCGCAGGGGGTGGTCTCTCTATGCGTGCCAGGGTCGTCCAGGCATAGCACGCGTGGCATTTTCTCGACACCAGAGGGGGTGCGCAGGGGGTGGTCTCCCTATGCGTGCCAGGGTCGTCCAGGCATTGCAGGCGTGGTGCACCCTGCTCCGACACACTGTTGCCGGCGTGGTAAACGCAATCACTCAACCTCACTTGCCGCATCCCCGCTCGGGATTCACCTTTTGCCACACGCTCAATCGATGACCAGTCCTCCGTTGCCTGGAGACGCAAGCTGGCTAACACTACGAGGCCCTGAACAGGGCAGGTATCCAGCAGTGCTTGGGCAAACGCCCAACTGCAATCCACCCGAGGCCTCGGTGCCGACGTAAACACGCCGAGACGCCTAAACAGGCCGTCGATCCGCTACCTGGAATCACACCCCCTGACTGGCGTTTGGGCCCCCTCGGGGCTCGCCCACCCCGCAGCTGAACAGCGCGGACGCATAACCATGCGACACCCCACCAGGGCGGGCGGGTGGGAAAAGACCTCAACAGGTCCATCCCTGAGCCATAATGGACACGGACAAGAGAGAGAGAGAGAGAGAGAGAGAGAGAGCGAGCGAGACCTGCAACCTAGGCACGCCTATTGGCTGGCTCGGTGCATACGTGTCTGCACAGTGCATTGGGCACGAAACTGTAACGAAACCTCTCCGGCGACAGGGGCAAGAAATCGTGCCCCCCCTCGCAAGGTCAACAGCAAGCGGTTGCATTTGAGACGGGTTTTATTCCTCACCTCACGCCCACACGCCGGCGCCGGGGCATGACAACAGGGCACGCGCGCGCAGGCAAGGGAGCGCGCGCGTGCGGGCTGCGCAGACGTGCAACTGCGCACATCAGGCTGTGCTACGCTGCACCCTGCTCCGACACACTGTTGCCGGCGTGGTAAACGCAATCACTCAACCTCACTTGCCGCATCCCCGCTCGGGATTCACCTTTTGCCACACGCTCAATCGATGACCAGTCCTCCGTTGCCTGGAGACGCAAGCTGGCTAACACTACGAGGCCCTGAACAGGGCAGGTATCCAGCAGTGCTTGGGCAAACGCCCAACTGCAATCCACCCGAGGCCTCGGTGCCGACGTAAACACGCCGAGACGCCTAAACAGGCCGTCGATCCGCTACCTGGAATCACACCCCCCCCTCGTAAGTGCAAACCTATTGCACTTCGCGCACTTGCGAGACACAGCGCCTGCACAGGGCGCACTGTCCCACTGCTCCTTGAGGATAGGCTCGTAGTCGGAGATGCTCCATGACCATCCGCAGAAGGTCCGCTGGGGAGAGAACACCATGTGGAACTGCCCACCGTTGCAAGCGACGTACTCCGGCTGCTTGGTGCCCGTGATGACGGCCACGTCGTCTCTCACCTGGTCGCACTTCTCGTCGACGATCCGAACAAGGGCCTCGAACTGCTCCTTGTCCGAGCCGGCGGGGTCCCTGAGCCTTGAAAGGACAGTGGCTGCGATGCGCTCCACAACATCCTCCGAAACGGCCTGAACCTCGGGACCGCTGCCGCGGAGGACGCCTGCCGACGCCCGCGCGCGATCCTGAACCCGGCTATGAAGGTCATCGATACAGGGTGCGTCGGTCCATCTACGCGCCCCCTCCGTGCGAGCGGCCAGGCCACCCCCTTTGCTTCCAAGAAGAGCGTCGCGAACATAAAGCAGTACCGCCGCTGAGCCCCACCTGCCAAACAGCTGAATCACTGCAAGAGAATGTCCGGCTTCGGCCATGCGCTGCGCACCCGTCACTCTCGCAGAGTGGCCCGACACATGCTCAATGCGCCCTCCGACCGCCTCTGTGAGCCCCTTGTAGAATGCCACGACCGATGCCTTTGTGAGCGGCCTGCCGAACGTGTCCACGAGGAGCGGCCAGTTGTGGGCTTCGGTGGAATCAGCTCGACACTGCGTATCCCGATGCCTCCGGGATACGTCGACAACTCTCCGGAGGGCGCGCGCGGGGCAGAGTCGAGACGGGCACGCACAGCCCAGCGAGCGTGACTTACCGAGGGCTGCCGGGTCAGCCTTTGAGGCAGGTAGATGCCAAGTGGCCCAACCGCACGGACCGTCCTCCTCCCCCTCGGCCTCGAAGAGCTCCACTGACCTGAGGAAGGCCGAGCTGCTCTCCACTTCGCGGAGCAGCCATGCGCACGCAACCACGGCTGCGTCCACGCCCGCAGCAGGCCACTCCGGCCTCGCTGCAACAGCGACGTTAGCCTTGAAATCGTCGGATACGTACTGCTCCAGCGGCAGCGGCTCTGCCCTCTTGGCGGGGCCGAGTCCACGAAGGATGGCCCGTTTAGCGTCGCCGAAGATCTGCGCCATTTGCCCCGACCACTCGTGCCCAGCCTTGACGTGCTGCCGCTTGATGCACGACAAATACAAAACACCACTGCGGTACTGCCCACGCAACAGCAGGGCCGCAGCCAACGCGAGGGTGTCTGGATTGACCGGGAGCGGCGGAATGCCCCGAGCTGCGCACCGCGCCCGCCACCGGGCCCAGCGAGAGCGATGCGAGGCCCGGGCCCCCCTCGCCAGGGCAGCTTCGTCGAGCTCCGCGATTGCCGCCGCGTCCTGCCGCTTGTCATCGAGGCCTCGCTTCGATCCGCGAGCGTATGCTCGTCGGACTGGCGCATCCGGCCGCCAAGGGTGCCTCGCCTTCGCGCCGCGCAGCGCCTTCATAAGGCGGCCCTTGCGCCGCACCATCGCCGCGTGCCCGCCTCGCCGGCTATCCTCGGAGTCAGACGGCGGCACCCGCCCTGGCGTGCAGCGAGGCTCATGGGAGGTCGAAGCAGCGTCCGCATGAGCTGGCACCGGCGTTGCCCGCGGCCCTCCCGGGCGGGTAATTAACCGCTGCGGCAAAAGCGCGCACGCCCAAAAATCTGCCTGGCTGGACGCCTGCGGCCGGGGCCCGCAGAAGACGAAAACGAAGATCGCGAAGAGGCAGACACCCGTTCGGGAGCAATGAGGCGGTCGGGGCCGCCGCGCCTCCGAGGTGGAGGGGAACTGCCAGCGGCCTCTGGGTTCCTGCGCCGGGCCCGCCTTGGCCCACAAGGCCCCGGCGTCGCGGACTCGCAGGCCCGCCTGAAGCGCCGGCGCCACTCTGCCCCTCCCCCGCCTGCCGAGAGAACTCGGCGAGATGGCGCCGTCTGAGGCCAGCGCGGGCCTGCTCGAAAGACCACATGAGTCACATGATGCGTGCTGGTTTGAGCCAACCAGCTACGGATGAGGCCACGAGCACCCTGACCAGGGAGCCGGGCTAACAGGCCCGCCTAAACAGGACGGGGCCCGCGCCGCGTCACACCTAACGCACGGGAGTGACCACCCCCGACCCTGACCAGGGCAGCCGCCAGCCTCAACAGGCAAGCCCAACGCCACCCCACCCCCCCCCTAAACAGGGCTGGCCCTGGCCTTACCAGGCCCGCCGGACACATCCACGCAGCGCGAATGAACGCAAGGGGGCATGCCTCAACAGGCGGCGGCGCGTGCGACGGGCGAGGGGGGCAGAGTCGCATCGGGCCCCCGGCGCAGTGCCTCAGCAGGCAGCGGCACCGGCCACCTGCGCCTGCGCCTGAACAGGCAACCCGGCCACCTGCGCCTGCGCCTGAACAGGCAACCCGTTGGCACACCTGCCAGCCCCGTCCTGAGCAGGACAATTTCTTTTCCGAATCTTCCAAACAACACGGCCAGTGAACGATAGCAAGGGCATGCACAATCGGGCGGACAGCGTCTCTCAACAGGGCCACGCCCGCAAAGGAATGCGAATCGACCGGCAGCGACTCTCAATATAGTCCTGCTCCAAATGCCAACGCAAAAACCAAAATGGGCAGCTACTCTGAACAGAGTTGCGCCCCGCAAAGCTGCGACAGAAACGCCCGGGCAGCGACTCTAAACAGAATCCCTCCCCGCAAGGGCGTGCGGGGGGGACAAAAAAAACCAAATGGGCAGAGACGCAGAATGGGCTCCGCTCCGCGAGGCTTCGCACAGAAATCATACTGGGCAGCGACCCTGAACAGAGCACCGCTCCGCCAGGGTGCGCGAACACGTCGACTGGGCGGCGACTCTGAACAAAGTCCTGCCCTGCCGACTGGGCAAGAATCTACCGGCTGTGTCCGCGCAGGCGTCAAGCTATGGCCTGTCATCACACGGCCGCGAGCCCGCCGTGCCAGAGCCGACGAAGTACCAGCGCTTGACGACCGCCACGTCCTCCACTGCGTCCCGCAGCTCGCCGGGGACTGGCGCCCCTTCGTGACGTCTGGACAACGAATCTGCCCACTCGTTCTCCTCGGACCACCAGTGCACAGCCGTGATGTCGTGCATCGTGGGGCCGAGCTCCAGCTGGATCTCTGCCGCGACGAGGTTGACCAGCGGGGACTTTGCACGTCTTTGCACCACCGCCTCGAGGACGCCCTGCGCGTCGCCGATGACCCGCAAGGTCGCGCTGCCAGCGCAAAGACGCGGGGCCCAGGTGGCGATCGCCACCAGCAGCGCGTAAGCCCCCCACAATGCCTGCGAGCTCGGATTGCCCCGCTCCGCCTGCAGGACCGCGGCGCCCCTGGCAGTCCACCTCCGGGACCAGAACCGCGTCGGGGCACAGCCTGGTGCCGGCGCAAACCACGCTCCTCCACCCCCCGGACTGGCGTCAAAGGCAATCGTCGGGCCCGCCGCCGCCTCGCTGAGGGGGAAGCGTCGTGGCAGCCGCGGCGCTCCACGCCGGCAAAACTCGCGAATCCAGGCGCACGGGAGCTGGAGGCGAGCTCGCGACACGACATCTGGAGTCTCGCCCCTTGCTGGACGGGCCGTCGCTGCAGCCCAAATCATCTGGGAGAACGGCTTGAGGACTGGCACAATGCTGCTGACCCAGCTGCAAAGTCCAGCGAAGGCGCGAACCTCCGCCCGGTTGCACCGCGGATTCTGTAACAGACGCTGCGCGTCCAGGGCGAGCCGAGCGACCTTCTCCAGCGAGATCGTGACGACCACGCCGATCACCGCGCCGCCCGAGACATCGAACGAGAACAGGACTCCCAGCCACTCCACTGCGTGCCCGAAAGCGCCCTTCTTCCATGCTAGGTCCATGCCCAGCGCGCGCCACAGCAAGAAGACACGCGCAGCGTTTCGTGCAACGGTCCTCGGATCACCGCTGAGGCAAAGGAAGGGGTCGTCCACGTAGCACTGCAAACCTACCTCCTCTGGTGGGTGCAGTGCCGCCGCTGCCCGGCCCAGGAAGGCAGCCACGCGCCCCCAAACCAGGGGGCCCGCAATGTGCCCGAACAGCAGGACGAGGTACACGAAGAAGCCGTCCGTGCCCTGCAAGGGGGCCTTGCCGGCCAGGAAGCGCCTCTCGCTGGGGTGCACGATGAGCTGCTTGAACGCGTCCGTGAAATCTATCACCAGGACCCTCAGCCTCGCCGGGTCCGGCTGCGCTCTCGCTGCCTTGAGCATCGTCTCAACCGCGTCGCGGAGCCGAGGGAGGACGCATCGCTCAGGGATGCGCGCGCGCTCGTTGACCCCGCTCCGCCAGAGGTCGTGGATGAGGCGGAATTTCTCCCTGCCCGCCTTCACCGTGCGGATGACCGCCACCTTGGACAAGATCAGCTTCCCCAACGACGCCTCGAAGCCTTCCTTCGACGGCGCCCATTCCAGGTGGCCCTTCTCGAGCTCCGACAAGAAGACCCTCTCCGCGCCTGCCTGGTGCTCAACGAACGACGGGTAATTGGAAAACCCACTGGCCATGAAATCTCCCGGGCTGACGTCGTCCGACCCCCCCTCGTCGACGGTCGGGGTCGTCGGGAAAATGCCGTGCACGGGCATGCGCTGGGCAACTCCCAGCGGGGTCCGGCCGCGAGCCCAGTCCGTGAGGGACGCGTCGGGATCCGCCGCCGCCGCAAGAAGCTTCCCAAACAGAGCAGGCTGGAGGCCGCGCGATCTGTCGGCCGGCGCGGCTGGCTCAGGTCGAGCTGCGCCGCCAGCGGCGTGCTCGAACGCCTCCGCGATCAGCTGCCTCGCGCGGCTTACCGTCTCCTCGGGGAGACCCTCGCACTCGTCCTTGCCGAGGGCGTCGAGGATGAAGGACAGGCCGCCGCGCTGCTCCGAGAGCTCGTCCAAAGCCGCGTCGAGGGCCTGAGTGAGGCGCGGGCCCACCGCGCGCCATCCCGGCACCTTGTCTAGGGAGAGATGTGGGTTCCTCATGCCTCCGATCGCCATCTCGTTCTCCCTCTCCCGCTGCTGGGCCCTGGTCTCTGGCGCCATTGGGTCGCAACGCCCACGAGGCGTAAACCACGTGAGCAATCGGGGGTACCTCCTCGGAGGCGCTCGGGAGTGCGCCTCGGCCATGGCCTCGTGCGACCCCTCGGGGCCCCCGGCCGCGCGCTCGGCGAGCTCGAGCCACTCGGCCGCGGTGACCCACTTGGCCGTGCTGCCCCGGGGGCCGCCGACGCAACGCCGGCCCCAGACGAATGCCCGAACTCGAGGGAGGCCCACCAGCTTCTGGAACTCGGGCAACTCCCACAACAAGCTGTCCTCGGAGCTCGCCACGCTGAAATCGCCCCCTGCTCGGCACTGCACTCTGCACAGCGCCGCCGCGCGCTGGGCAAGAAGATTCGCTTCACGGACCCGCTTGGGGCGGCCCTCAGGCGGCTGCAGGCCCTCTGGGCGGTCCCTGGAGCGGAGCTGTCGCATCCTACCGCGAGCGCCGCGCCTGCGCGCGCAGCTGAAGGTGCTGCGGGGCGGGTCCAAGTGAAGCCATCGCACCTTGCCCCGCCGGACCAAAACCTTCAATCGGGTGAAGTCCCCGAGCCGGCCAAGACTGAAACTGGTGCGCTCCGCGCGCGGCCGGCCCTCGATGCCGCGCGGCCACACTGGGAGACCCGCGCGAGAAATGGCGCGACTGAGGCCGAAATCACCAGCGAACACATCAACAAAGAGATCGCCGGTGCCAGCGCGGGGGGCTGCTGCGTCGCGCCCGCAGCGCTCTGGCCTCTGCCGCGCCGCGAGGCCGCCCACGCTGGCCTTGCGAGCGAGCCGGTCTTTGACCGAGAGCTTCCAAGAGGCCCGCTTCCGCCCGCTCTTGCAAGCCAGCGGCGGCGGGGCAGGGACTGGCGACGACGACGCCGCCACTGAGGGGCCGTCACATCGGGCAGGGGCCGCAGGCATTGCGACGCCCTCCCAGCGCTCATCCGCCCTCAATGGCACCCTGGCCGGCAGCGCCTGTTCCGGCCTCGGGGCGGCCGCCGATCACGTCCGCTTCGCCTTGCCTTTGCCCTTGTCTGCGGGCTTCCAGCCAGGCTTGGTCGGGCACCTGATGGACTTGTGCGGCTCGCGGCACCACTCACACGCGTGCTCGCGGGGTGGCCTCGCGAGACACTCCTGCGCGCATCCATCCTCGTACCTGGCCCAGTTGTAGCAGATCTCCCTGCCATTTGCGTGCGTGTAGCGGCCGTCGCCCCGGCGGTGCTCGTTGGCCTCGCCCTGAGCGGGCGCCGACTTCTTCTGCGGGGGTTGTTGGGTAGCGCCGCGCCCGGCGGCCTCAGCTTGCCGGCGCTTGCGCTGGGCCCTGCGCCCCGTCCCAGGTTCCACCCAGCCGCGCTCGGAGTCGCCACTCTGACGGCCCGCCTGAGTCAGCTGGCCCGCTGCCGGCGCGTAGAGAGCAGCCTGGCGCTGCAGCCACCCCGTCTGCTGCGCGCGGCCCGCATTGGAGTCGAGCCATC